CAGGAATCTTCAAAGCACCTAACTGTCATTGATCTTAAACTAGCAGAAGGATTAGACATTAACCGTCAGCAGTTTACGGGCTATTTGGAAGAAGGAGAAGTAGAATACAGGTATTTAACTCACTTTAAAGCACGGTTAAATCAAAGAAACTTGAAGACTTTACTGTGTTGCTTTCTGAAAACTGTGTACTAAAGAGTTCTGAGAGATCCCACTAGCTAGAATCCCAATGACTAACAACATTATTCTTTTTAATGACTACTGCAAAATATCTGAACACCTGCACATGCTTGAAAAAAAATTAACTGAACATGTGTATAGCTATGGTCTGTGTATGGCTGGAGAAGGGAACTGTAACCAAGAAGACGGGTGGAAAGTCGGTATGAAGACCAATTAGACCCCCGCTGCCTACCCCCACATCCTGCATGAAGCTGATGAGAGACAGCTGGGATGTGAACTCTCTAGAGAGGTCTATGCAGAGGAGGGGAGAGACGAGGCACAGTGAAGAGTCTGCAAGAACTCTCCCCGGGTGCCTTTCAAGGCTCAGGTCCCCAGATGATGAGGGCCAAGCTCCTCTCTCACTCCTCTGCCCCCAAACTCCAGGCCAAACAGGCGAAGGTCCTCTTTGAGGTAACTGGGCATCTCAATGGAAAAAATATACCATATACGGAGATCCTGGGGCCTCCCATGATAGTATCGTGACCCTACAGTGAGACCCACACCACAGACTCTCCACAAGCAGGGAACTTCCAATCATCTTTCATGTGCCACTAAATCAGAGACAGCTGCGGTGAGGGGACACCCAAGGAAAACCACTCAGGTCAAAAGCAAAGCACATAGCAGAACAGGCCGGGGAAGCAGGAGGAGGGTCGGGAGGAGGTGAAGGAAAAGGAGAGCAAGATCAAGAGGAAGAGAGAGGGCGGGAGGAAGCAGAAGGTGAGGAAGAAGAGGAACAGAATAAGTCACGAGACAGAACTTTTCAAGACAATGATATTCTCACAGATAAAACGCTGTATACATGACACAGAAATGTGCTCTGAGAGAACATGAACAGACTTCTGCAATTAAAAATTGGCAAAATTCAATACATGAGCTAGAAGAAAATGTTGAGAACATCTTGGAACTCTCTCAGGAAGGAAAAAAAATCAAACAAAAGCAATGAAGAAAAGGTAGAAAACATAAGAAAACTGGAGGATCAACTAAAGAGGTCAGTGTCCGCTTAACAGGAGTCCCAGATAAAAGAACAGCAAAAAAGTGCGAGGAAGTAGCCCAAGAGACAATGCAAGAAAATTTCTCAGAAATGAAGGACCAGAGAGCTAAACCCTCTTCTTCCAATTTTAATTCTACAGATAAAGTCTAAAACTAGGGGGTAAAAATTAAGAATAAAAAGTATTTTAGCTTGTCATTTAAAACTCTGAAGATAATATATCAAAGCCTTAACCCTGGTTGAGCAGGAATTGGTGGTGATCCATGGAAAGGGGACTGAACTTTTCTTTAGAAGCCTTGCAAAAGATTCTTTAAACTATATAGACATATTGGATACAATTAAAAATTAAATTAAAAAAACCCACTATACTGATGGGCTGAGAACAGTTAACAGCACAGCTAAAGAAATATATCACCAAGTTGAGAGAGGATGTAAATACCGATCTATCAATTTTCTGATCTTACTTCACAGCCATGTATACAATACACTAATTCTACCTTTAAGCACTAGTAACATTACAAGTGTGGATGGTTTATCTAGAGCATGGGCTACAACTATTCAAAAAAAGATTTTTGAGGATACCATTGATACTTTATATGATTCTAAATCTGCCTGACTTACTAGGAATGCTCTCTAGTTTCCCAGAGTACTGTAACTCACAGGAATCCCATGTTTCTCTTTGAAACATACTCTAAATAACAAGATTGACTTGGGAAAGACAGGCAAAACTAGAGCAATTCAGATGTGCAGAAAGTCATTTCCCTGCAGTATTTCTTTTTAAAGCACATGGTGCCTTTGTCAGCTTGGGCTGCCATAAGAAAATACCACAGACTGGGTGGTTTAATAACAGACATTTGTTTTCTCACAGTTCTGAAGGAGCACGAGATCAGGGTGCTAGCATGGTCGGATTCTGGTGAGATGCCCTTCCTGGCCTGCAGGCATGGCTTTCTCATGGTGTCCTCACCGAGCAGAGAAAAAGCAAGCTCTCCCTTGGAAGGGCACTTATCAAGGCGCTAATCCATCATGAGGGCCCCTCCCTCATGACCTCATCTAACTAGCACTAATCACCTTCTAAAGATCCCACCTCCTACTACCATCACATTGGGTGTTAGGGCTTCAACATTCGAATTCAGGGGTCACACATGCAGTCCACAACACGCGGGAAAAGAAGCAAAACTGGGATATGAATGCCTGCCATCTGCCTGTGACAGGCAGCGGAACTGTGAACATAAGGAGATACTACTCCTATGATTATGTTATGGGAAGTAATATGGCAAAGGTGAAGGGCTTTTTCAGATGCAATTAAGGTCCCTCATCAGGTGACTGAGTTCATCAAAAGGAGAGTGCCCTGGTGGGCCTAACCTAATCAGGCAAGCTCTTTAAAAGAGAGACTGGGGTCACCCCCGAGGTCGCAGAGATTCTCCTGCTGACCTTGAAGAAACACACTGTCATGAATGAATTCTCCCAACAACAAGGTGAACCTGGAAGACGATCCTGAGCCTCAGCTGAGACCACAGTCCCAACCAACACCTGACTGAGGTCTTGTGGAACCCTGAGCAGAGAACCACAAAAAGTCATGCCCAGACTCCTGACCCACATAAACTGTGAGATAGTAAATGTAGGAACGTATGTGGTAAGCTGCCGTTTGTGTTAATTTGTTGTGCTGCACAGAAAACTAATACACTGCCATGATGATCTTACCCGAGAGACAAGGTCTAAACATGATTCAGATAGATGGTAAAAGATGGGAAGTTAAATATAGCTCTTTAGATATCTAAATAACCACAAATTTACCTTCCAAACTAATTCTGCTTATTGTTTGAAAAGATAAGAGTACTGAAACACAATCAAATTCTTGCCATCTAACAAACCCATTAGCTAATATCTCATGAACTGCTTTATGTTTGTTTCCTAATCATCTTTCATGTTAGCTTACCCCAGCCTTTCTGCCAAGTACATGGAATAAGACAAGGTCAGATATTTAAGTCCACAAATATTAAAGCCTAAATATTTCAAGTTCAAGTTCCCAGAAGGGAAAAGCGGAAGGCAAAACTTCATTCTCATCACTTTTCCCACCTTTCCGCTTAAATCTTAAAATTTTTAGAATTCAGCAGCCAAAAAAATGCCAATTCCAAGCCCACTATCAAACAACAAAAACAGTAACTTCCACTAAGATGGACCCTAAGGGCCCACACCACCTGGTACCCATGCCCTTGTAAAATCCCCTCTCTGTAAGCGTGTGCTGATCTACTGACTCACTCTGAATGAAAAGAACATGGCAGAGGTAACAGGCATCACTTCCAACATCATTTTATAAAGGGACCAGAGCCTCCACCTGGGCTCTCTCCGACTGCTTGGCCTGGGGAAGGCAGCTGAATGCTGTGAAGCAGCCGCATGGAGAGGCCCATGTGCTGAGGAACCAAGCCTGCCAATAACCACAAATTCCCCTTCCCCAGCCACATTGAGCCTTCAGATGAAATCACAGCCCTGGCTGACAGTTAGCAAGCTCAGGAGAGATCTTGAACAGAGGCACCCAGCTAAGTCACACCCAGATTCCCAACTCACAGAAACTGTAAAATAACAAATGTTTGTTGTTTTAAAGCATGAAGTTTTGAGGTGATCTGTTATACAGCAATAGGTAACTAATACCATACCATGAAATGTAAGGTAAAAACGTAAAATGCTTTGAGGTGATAGTACAAAAAAAAAAGAAAAAAATTCAATAAAAAGATAAAAGCTCCAACCTTAAGCACTCTTCCTGAAAGACCAATAATTTCACCATCTTTTGGCTCTACCACTGTAGCAGTGTTCACATCACCACTTCCTGTTGTGTCAATGATATCAATGATTTTCGGTCTTCCATCAGTTGTAACCTGAAAATTAAGAGACAATTAAAATATGAATTATAGATTTTAGTTTTTATCCTTAAAGCAATGTCAGCTCCCATACGTGTGTGTGTGCATGCACATATACCCATACCTAAAATATCCTATAAAATCTGCATTCATTTTAAAAAGAGAACTGAAGTTTTAAGCCAAAAGCCTGACAGATACTACCGAGAAGATTTAGTTACAGAAAACAGCACAGAATCCTTCAAATGGTTTCATGTGTTCAGGTAGATACTTCTTGGGCACTTACCACAGGCCACACTCTGTTAGGTGTCAAGAGTACAGCAATGATCAGAACACAAAATTCCTGACCTCACACACTCTGTTACATGGACTCAATAAACAAGTCAAATATATAACATGTCAGATGGTAATCACTACTACAAAGAAAATCAAGCAGGGAAAGGAGACAGGTGGTATGGGGCTTTCAATACTAATTAGGCTGGTCAAGAAAGGTGTCACTGGGAAGGTTAACATTTGAGAAAAGGTCTGAAGAAGGTGAGTTTTTGGTTGGACAAAACTTTAAGGGGAAAATGTTTAATAACATTTCATTATTGGAGGCCACACTAACACTCAAACTTCTTAAATCAAGTTCAAACTTAGCACTCAAACTTGTCTCTCCCCAGGCCTTGCCATCTCAGGAAGTCAACACACACCCAGTTGCTCAAGCCAGAAACTTACAGAGTCCTCAGATTCTTTAGTTTACTCCTCACAGCAAATCTCTCAGGAAGTCCTCTTCCTTCTACCTCTAAAGTACAGTTCAGAATCAAGTTCCCTTGATTCTTCACTACTGGTGTCCTGAACCTCTCCACCACCATCACTTCCTGCTCATACGCGATGCTGGCTCCCAGGAGGCCCTCCACAAGCAACAGCAAAGCCAGTCGGGTCGTGCCAGTCCTCCACTGGACACCCTCAGTGGGCTCACAGACATCGGGACCGGACCCTGCCCAGGGTGCCAGTCACTCCCGCCTCTGACCACCTGGTCTCCTTTCAACCCCTTGGACGCGGCCACCTTCCTCCTGCCTCATGACTTTCTGCGCCAGGTCCTTCTGCTGGGAATTCTCTGTTTCTTCAGTTGTTCCACAGGTATCCCAGTCTCACCTTTCCATTTACTAGTAAAATACCGTCCCCTTCAGAAAGGCCTCCCTGATGATCTCATCAGGCTCGTCATCCTAAGCCTGATTACTCTTTCTCACTGTACCTTGTTTCCTTCACAGAACTTAACTCAATTCGTAATTACAGTTTGTGACTCTTTACCTGTTTGCACTATCAGAAGATAAGCTCCATAAGGGCAATGGCTATGTCTATTTTATTCACCAAACTACCCCAAACCTAGCAGTCAGTGCCTGTTAGGTACTCAAGGCATAAGGGATTGTTGGATGGCCTGACACGAATTACTTAGCATTAAGATTGATTTTCCTCAGCTGTGGTTTCTTGGCCAGCCCCAGACTTTCATTTGGGCCATGCTGACTGCTACAGCTAACAGGAATACTGAATAACCTTATTGTCTTTGTGGGAAAAACTATTTGCGGGCTCTTTCTGGGCTAGCTTTGGAAAGGGAATCTGCAGCATTCAAGATATACATGCTGAGTTACCAGCAGGAAAATGAAGACCCCCCCCCCCCAAGAGAGAAACAGGAATGTAAAAAAATGCCTATAGTGTGACAAGAGTATAGCCTTCAGATTCCTTTTCCACCCGGTGAATTCCCCTTCTTTAAGACGAAGTGTAGTGCCTGTCACTAGGAGTCTTTCTGGTCTCACGCCCTCCTCCCCAACACCAACTGCAGTGTCCTCAGAGCTCTACAGTTAGGGTGCACCCAAAAGGAGGCAGGGGAATTCACTATGTGGAGGAAACAAACACACGTCGTTTTTTTTCCGACAAGGCAAGGTGGCTGGTGGATCCCGGATCTCACTCCAATCATCGACCAACTAGGGGCTGACAGCTCTGTCAGGGGCCGCACAGCTGTTATTTTTATGTATGGTAATTCATCAGTTGGATGTTTATTTCTGGGGGGGCTGTCTATACTAGTAACAAGTATTCTAACATACTGAGAAGGCTCAAAATCATAATTAAAAATCACTGCAGAAATCATACCAAATCCTGATAAAATTATGATAAAACTTAAATCAGGGGCTTCCCTGGAGGCACGTGGTTAAGAATCCGCCTGCTAATGCAGGGGACACGGGTTCGAGCCCTGGTCCGAGAAGATCCTACATGCCGCAGAGCAACTAAGCCCATGCGCCACAACTACTGAGCCCGCGAGCCACAACTACCGAGCCCATGTACCACAACTACTGAGCCCATGTGTCACAACTACTGAAGCCCACGTGCCACAACTACTTAAGCCCATGCACCTAGAGTCCACGCTCCGCAATGAAGAGCAGCCTGCACTCGCCACAGAGAAAGCCCATGCATAGCAACAAAGACCCAACACACCCAAAAATAAATAAATTTATAAATAAATTTATTTAAAAAAAAAACAAATCAGACACTGATTTTGAAGGGACTGGCTAGTATCTTTAAGAATAAAATAAAATGAAAATAAAGGAATGAAGAAAAATGTAAGAAAATCTAACAAAAATAGAAGCCAGTAAGAGGAAGTTAATACTCTCCTATAAAGTTAAAACTAGCCAGATCATGTACTAAGACCATAAGCAAATAATCTATTTTAAAATGTATTCTAAATAAGCACATAATTTGAAAGCTACACCACAGCACTAAGAACACAAACCATTTGTCTTCGCTTTCTCGTTCAATGACCAAACAACTTCGGTGACTTGAGATTGAGAATCACAAGAGATCACTAACAAGTCAGACACGGATCCCTCTCATTAGAAACCTCATTATGAGTGTGAGCAAAGAAGAAAGCCTAACGGGATTTAGTGGTTTATTTACCATCTACAACTGCCACAAGCTTTACTCACTAGGATCTCTCTCTCTTCTCTCTCTCTCTCATTAAAAATTCTCATACATGCAGTTGCTCCTTCCTTCAACCATTAGGTAAATGGTTGTCCTTCCTCAGTTGTCCTTCCTTCAACCACTCCACTGGAGATAAGAAGATACAAGAGGGAGTTTAGGGTTAGGAAGGACAGGTTTTAAAAAGGCAAATCAACTGAGAATTTTGCAGAGGTGCTCTGGGAGGACAGGAAACTGAATTGCTAACATTGGAACTCTATCCCTCATCTTTGAGGATGGGGAGGGGTAACATGGGCCTGAAGGCACAGTTACTATGAGGAGAGCTAAGGTGATAAGCCCTGGGAACGGGGGTGGGAGACTGAGAGATGCTTACTGGGCGCCACTGGCGGAACAGAACAGAAATGGCCCAAAGGTTCTCCCCGAACATCAAGAATCTAAGTTACTTTGGGTCTCCACTGAAACAGTTACAGCGAAGTTGGTGAGGGTTTGTAGAGGATTGGAACAAAAGGGGGAAGGTTCGCAAACTATCCTGCATAAACCAAAATGAACGTATAAGCATCCACTTGAAATTTCAGGGAAGATACTGAAAATACTCCTTTAAGCAAAGAATGGTATGTCATAAACAAACACTATGGAATGACTGTTATTCTAAGAACATAATGATGAATGAATAAGACAGGCTTTGCTTTCAGAAAGCTTACAATCCAGTTGGGAAGACAAATGAGAAAAGAGAACAGGACTTCCCTGGTGTCGCAGTGGTTTAGAATCCGCCTGCCAAAGCAGGCAACACAGGTTCGAGCCCTGGTCCAGGAAGATCCCACATGCCGTGGACCAACTAAGCCCGTGCGCCGCAACTACTGAGCCCAAGTGCTGCAACTACTGAAGCCCACGTACCTAGAGTCCGTGCTCCACAACAAGAGAAGCCACTGCAATGAGAAGCCCGAGCACCACAAGGAAGAGTAGCCCCCGCTTGCCGCAACTAGAGAAAGCCCGCGTGCAGCAACGAAGACCCAACACAGCCAAATAAATAAATTTATTTAAAAAAAAAAGGACAGCAATATAGGACGATAAGTAATAATGATAAGGACAGTGTCTAGGAAAGCACGTAAGAACACAAAAGCCAGCTTGGGGGAATCAGCAAAGGCTAACTGAAAGGGAGGCAATAAAACTTAAATTAATGGAGAGCACCCACTATTAGTAACCAAGTGCATACCTATGATAACTTCCTTACTGTACTCCATTATATTTTAGTGAAGGTAAAATTAGAAAGACTTTTACAGGACTACTTCCTCCTTCCCAAACTATTTTTTCCCCATGAGGAAATTGTGGACATTATCACATATATACATTTTTTTTCCATTCAACACAAATTGTTACAAGCACATTTCATACAAAATGAATTTGGATATATGCTTTCAAGGAATTTTAACTGAACCAGGAAAAAGGTATATAAGCCGATATACTAAAATGAAACATTTTAGGGAATTCCCTGGCAGTCCAGTGGTTAGGACTCCGTGCTTTCACTGCTGAGGGCCTGAGTGTGGCCAAAAAAAAAATTTTTTTTAAGTGCTATAAGGATATGAAAAAATTGCTATGAGAGCAAACTAAGTAACTGTCACCAGGGACTGGGCCTTACTCCTCTTTGAACCCCCAGGTCCTAACACAGCGGTCGGCACATACACATAAATACACAGTGGGGGGCTGAATTAATATCACTAGATAACCCCAAAGGCAACAGGTGAAGGCCCAGCTGGTCTTAAGGGATTAAGTAGGCATTTACAGGTGATTGTAGAAGGCCTGCAGGCAGATTAAACCCCACATGCAAAGGCATGTGTTGGGGAAAGACCTGGAACATCTGGGTGAGAGGAAAGCTGTGAAATGCTGTTGGTGGAAGCACAGGCGGGGTGCTTCAAAGGTGGGGTGGACTGGATGTGGACGGAAAAAGTGGTGGGAGGAGAACCAAGGCTACGCGGAGCTGGAGCTGAATGGCAAAGAGCTGCGCAAAGTTCAAATCCGGGGGTTTCAACGCAAAGACAACTGGGATGCCCAAATAGTTCTGTTTTATACTAAGCAAAGGTGTGATGGGTTGTTTTGTTTTGTTTTTTAAGGAAAGTAACTTTGGCCATGTGAAGGGTGACCAATGGCAGCCAGGAGACCCGCTGGCTACCAAGGATTTCCAGGTCCAGTCCAAGCCCCATCTCTTGTCCACGAAGCCTGATTGCTCCAGCTCTCACTGGTCCCCTGATCAACCTCTGTTAACAGTTATCTGCAGGACTACATCATCTCTTAACGCAGAATGTTAGGGACCTGGCAGGTGCCTGAATATTCGCTGAGGAAAAGACTTAATCATTTATTTAATTACTCCTCCTCTCATGCTGGCCACCCCTCTACATTTAACAAAGCCTACACGCTATCACAAGAGAACTGGGCCCAAGGCCGTCACCGAAGAATGGGACTAGAATGGGACTCCCCACTGTGTTCCTGAAAACTCTCCCTTGCACCCCTAGTCCCCTACTCAGACACCATCTGCCTTTCCAAATGTCCAGTTCAACCTCCTCTTCCTATTTCACTCTTTCCTTCCACTTTATTTCTATCCACTGTCTCATCTTAATGATGTATACACAGATCTACAAAATACATTTGTTAAAGGTAAAGGGGGGAAAAAAACCTTAAAAATTCACCCATGTTTGCAAGCCACCTTAGTGAACTTCTTTCAGATGGCCATGTTTAGGTCAATCCCTCAGAGTTCAAGCTGTTAGAAGATAAGAGTTATGTTTTCTTTTTACTTCAAACATGCTGTTGCTCAAACATTTATTATTACATGCACATAATATCTAATGCGTATTTATCTTTCAGAGAGATGGTGATTCAAGATCCAGCATAAACTCCCTCTACTAAATAGCCTTGCTTCAAAAATCAGTGTTTGTTTAACACTTTTCATGAGCACTTTAAGTAGTCGCATGTAATTAATCGCCTCAATTTTCAGAGCAACACTGTGGGATGAGAATTACTGCTACTTTATAGAGAGAGTAATGGAATTATTTGATAAGCAGGTCCGGGAAATTCTACAAAAGCATTTTTACTGAGACACTACTCCTCCAAATTCTTCTGATCCCCTTATTATCCAGACAAAAGAGCCAGCGACCACTTACTCCAGCTGTTCTCCACCCACTTATCCCTATAAAAAGTAAGCACACACCATACCAGAACGGAAACCATTACTGCACTGTAAGGAAGCCTCAATGAGGTGGTAGCTGTCACTGCTGTACATCTTCGGAGTTCTTAAGAAAACTGGACCACCAGAGCTACCAGGAGGGAACGCATCACCTGCTCCTCTCTGATGCACGAGAGCTGCCTGGCAGGGCCACCATGAGGGGTCCTGCGCTCCAGAGTGCTGCTGAAGAATGAAAAGGAGGGAGCAACGTTCCCAGAGGGATTCTCTACAGAGTCAGCCAGACTGGGAACCGGACTGGTTCCCTTCCCCCCCCCCCCCACGGCATTACATCCTAACTTCCAAAATGCTACCTCAGTTATAAGAGAGCACAATAAGGGATGCAGAGGAGGGAGAGGCATGGGGGAGGATAATTATTAAACTTCAGGGTTTTAAGAAATACAGGGGAAAGACTGATACAAGGAAGAGATCAGCGTGCAGGAGGATTAGCCAGGTTAGACATTTGGGAGACGAGTCTTGAAACTGTGAAATTCTGTTTACTGCTGGGTTTCGGTGTAAGGCTCAGGCTACTAAATTTACAAAAGTCAAACTTTGAAGACTTTAATGAGAATGCTTTCAACAGAGGGACACATTTTAAAAAATTACCTTTCGGCATGGTACCTTGATCTAACGATTTCAAAGGTGGCTAGGGCAAAACAAAATAACTTTAAAAAATCATGAAGTATGTTGTCTTACATTTTGAGGCTGAAAAACAAAATACGGAAGCATAATTTAATGCAGTCTGAAGAGTTCGCCAAAAACAAAGTTGCGTTCTTCTTTATATCAAAGACTAAGCCATGCGTTTCACTGACCCTAACAAGTACATTGCGGAAGAGAGTTAAAAATAGAATACATAAAACTACCAGAGGAAACAATTCCGGAAGTTGACCGAGTTATCTTCTTGAAAGCCGGCTTTCGTGTTTCAAGATAAACTATTCCTCCCCAAACCAAACCTCCCGAACGACAGCAATAAAAATGAAGTTCTGATAGGTCATTTGCCCCTTCCCTGTTTCCTTCCCGCCCCCCGCTCCCATGAATAACAAAACAGTAAAATCCTCCTTTGCAAATAACAGGCACCCGCCGGTTGGTGCCCAAGACACGAGGCACCCGCGGAAGAAGGCGGTGTGCTGGGCAGGAGCCCGAGAGCCCGGGCCTGGAGGCGCCTGGGTAGGAAGGGGCTTCCTGGGCGACCGGCGGCCCCGGGCGCCCCGACCAACCGCTTTTGTCTGGGCCGGGATCAGGGCCCAGCCGGGGCGCCCGGCCGCTGGCCCCTCGCCCCCCGCCCCCCGCCGGGCCCTCCGCCTCCTCCCGGCGGCTCCCCCTCGGCCGCAGAGCGGGCTTCGGCCTGCGAGGCTCCGACGCCGCGTCCCCTCAGCGTTCCCGGCCCGGTGGTCGGCCGCCCGCGCCCCCGCGCCCGGGCCCTCGGCGGCTGCCGCACCTGCATGCCCGGAGCCCCGGGGTCGACCCCCGTGTCCAGGACGGCGATGAGCACCCCCCGACCGTCATACTCCGGGTAGCGGCAGAGGAAGGACGCGGCCCCAGTCTCTTTCTTCGGGAGGAGGCCGTGGAAAGGGAAGGGCTCCTCGTTCGCTGCGGTGGCCATGGACGCAAGCTGGAAGGCGAAGAAGAAGCAAACTGCCAGGCTGCGCGCGGACGAGCGACGCGAGGACACACGGGCGGCCACGGGCCTGGGCGGGGGCAAGGGGCGGGACCAGCCACCGGCCAATCCAGGCCCGCCAGGGAGAGGAGGCCAATCGCGCGCTGCTACGTAAGCGAACGGTGCCGCTCTCTGGAGCTGGGCCCGAGTGTTGCCCGGGCCGCAGAGAAGGAGGCGGAGTCGGAGGCGTTTTTGGAGGCTTCAGTTCTCGAACCTGGGGTCTTAAAGAGACTCGAGTTTGGGATTTTTAGGGGACGGCCGGCTCCCAAGCAAAGGGTCCGCGTGTCCCGGGCCGAAACACTCCTCCGGGAACGGGAAAGGAAATGGGCTGCCAGTCTGTTGTAACAGGTACCTCCCGCTGGCAAGCGATGGTTTCCGAACTTGTGGTTGTGGACTAAACTTTTCGGTCAGCTGCTGCAGGATTCCTCGGTTTCCCCGAGGAAAGGGAGCCAACTCACGCTCGCTAAACCCCTAGGAGTGTCGGATTTTGGCGAAATGCCGGTACAAAAATTTTTGAGAGGGAATTCTTTGATTCAGTGGTGTAGGGATTGTGTTCCCCTTTCTCGAGTGTGTCCCTTTGATGGGGAGGGTGGGGGGGCGTATAGGGTGTGGATGGGCCAGAGCTGCCATCAACAGGAAGTGGGTTGTAGGCCGTTCAGTCGGCCTTGTAGCCAGTAACAAATACCAGCCTGAAGTGGGCCCCTCCTATCCTCATTGCTCACCCTGGGCTTCCGGGATTTCTGAAAAACATTCTTTTTTTTTTTTTTTTTTTTTTCACTCTCTCTTTAAATTGATGTTTCTGGTTGGTCCTGAAGGTTCTCCACTCAATTATCGAGCCAAAATTCGCAGTTTTTCAGATTAACAGTGGCGGCTATCAATTGCTCCGTGCTGCACTAGTGGCCCTTAATGATCTTTCTGTCTGTATTCTTGCCAGGGTAATCTTAGTGTTTTGTGTGGATGTGCCAGCGACCCCTCTGGCAATCTGGCGGGGCTTATGGACACCTCAGAACAATTTTAAACTCATAAAATTTAATATATAGAATTACTCCGGAAATTATGTTGAAATAGTTATCAAAATATGAAAACCAACTTTATTATATAGCAAGTTTTATACATATAATTATATGTATGCTTCTGTGCATGAAATAACAGGAGCTAGCGCCAAATCTAATAAGCTCCCATAATTTCAAAATAGTAAAGAGCGTAAATAGTATTTTGACACACCTGTAACGTACTGTGATAAACATTTTTATTGGTGAAACAGTAACAAACAGTAACTGCTGATACCACTCTGGTTATTAGCTACATCTATAATTGAAGGAAATATTTAATTAAAAGGTTAGTGGAAGTAAGGATGTTTTTTTTTTTCCTACTCAAGTTTTTGAACCCCTCAGATTCTATCATGGACTCCAGGTTAAGAATGCTTGGTGTAAAGGGAAATTCTATGTACACCAGTTTCCAATCCATAGGATTGGGAGATTCTCCACTAAATCTCAAAAATTACTGTAATGGCTGTGCAATTTCTTTGAATTGATTACTTGTCCATTTCTTCTATTCCATAAATCTTAGAGAAGCATGTTCTCTTTAGTGGAGAGGAAATGGAGAATAGTTAATGTTTTCTTTCCTACTCCCAACTGTGTTTATGTTACCTCTAGAAAAGGGCTTAAAATTAATGGTAAAGAAAAGACACACAGAAGATATTCAAATAGAACATGTAGTGACAGAATGGAATAGCTTCCAGTTTCAAAGGAACCGGTAGTCCAGTTTCTTCATTTTACAAATGAGGAGCAAAGGTAGACAGGTTTACTGGCTGCCACGGGTTATGAAATGGAGTTAGTGAAAAAGCTGGATTTCTGTTCTCACAGTCTGCCCCCAGTATTTTCTACCACATCTGTTGTGCTCTCCGACCAGAGTGTCACCCAGTGAATGGATGGTGAATGAACTGTTCATTGTGAAACCAAAGTGGCAGACTTTTTATTAGACTCCTATAACAATGTTCTTTAAAAAAAAATTGTTTTTTCTTACGGCTCCCATAAAAATGTTTTAGAAAAATTACATACCCTCTTGTATAGTTTTAATATAACTTTTGAAATTTGTCATCATACGTTCAAGAAATTATAAAGGATGTGATATCTGGCATTTTATAAATATTGACATTCTTTAATGAAACCTCTACATCATTCATTTAAATATAGCCAGTTGAATGTTACTCTTTGATATCTGCCATTCTATTTATATACCTGAACATATTCCATTTAAAATCAGATATTTGGGGCTTCCCTGGTGGCGCGGTGGTTGGGAGTCCGCCTGCTGATGCAGGGGACGCGGGTTCGTGCCCCGGTCTGGGGGGATCCCGCGTGCCGCGGAGCGGCTGGGCCCGTGGGCCACGGCCGCTGAGCCTGCGCGTCCGGAGCCTGTGCTCCGCGGCGGGAGAGGCCACAGCAGTGAGAGGCCCGCGTACTGCAAAAAACTGGCCTCTCTGGAAGATGACGGGGGTCTCCCGCCAACCCTTCCTTTCCAAGAGAGCGGCTTCACTCTCGTTTGTATTATGAACAGGGGCTTTTATAAGGATTATTGATAAAAGGATTCTATCACTTTTTAGAAGTCTGGAAAAAAAAAAAAAAAAAAAATCAGATATTTGACATCACTATTTCTTCTTGAAATTTTATTAACATTCTACACAGAATTTTATCCTAATGTAATTTACATTTATGATGAAAAGTCCTATTGATCATTTATTATTATCTGCAACAAAAATATGTATGTTAATATTTAATTTAAAATTTTTTTCTGGGATCAAAGTGTTAAAAATTTCCTTTTGGATTATCTTTCAATTCTTGGAAAATTGATCAAAAGGACATAAATAAATCTTAAGCTTTGATCAATATTTGATTAAGATAAAAATTACAGAACAAAAAGAAAATTTTTATTGAAAATGCAGTTCTTAAAAAGATCCATGAGAGGCATGTTTCGGGGCTTTGATGAAAGGTTTTGCTGACAGTTTTTCAAATCGTCCCTTTATTTGATGCCCAAGAAGCTATTTCACCTGAAGGTGATGCACGATAGTAAGATGCCTTTTTCTAGGAAGCTGGAGACCCAGCTGTGAAACAGGTGCGAAGGGGAGGCGATATGTCCTCCCATCACAGGCACGTCTTCAAGCAGATAAGTTTGGAAAAGAGTAGATAAGACATGTAAGCCTCTGGAAATTGATCATATTGAAATTATCCATGACTTTAAATCACAGTTTGAAGACCACTGTTTTATAAAACCCCCGAAATCACAATAAGAAGTCATTTACTCTTTGTCTTCAAGCCACAGTATTCTCCACATTCTGCGTTTACACCTCCTCCTCTCTGGATTTAATGACATTGCCAGCTAAGGGAACGCTCTCAATGTCAAGTCCGTTTGTGCAACTTGACAGTTTGACAGTTCATTGGCTTTAAGAAGAAAACAATGAAGATACAGATAAACACAACTAGGGCTTAGGAATGGGGAGGAGAGGGAGGAAGGGGTGTCAGGACACAACGGGGCAGCGGACCGGGGCATCCTCTGTGGGGAAAGTAACAGGCTGGACGCACGCACCCTCCCACACAGCATTGTTCGGAGCGGGAAGGGCAGAGCAGGGTGTTCCCGAAGGCCACCTCCCTTCCCCGTCACCTGCCGGGTGGGAGGCTGCGCGCCAGTGCAGAGGTGTGGGCAAAGGCATCGCTTCCCATGAGTCACTTTCTTTGTAGCTATTGCGGCACCGTATCATTTAGAGAATATTCTTTAATCAAGTATCCGAAACTGCGCAGAGATTGTGAAAGCGTCATCGTGTCCCAGATGCCGGGCGTAGAAATCCTGCGCAGCGTTAGCAGCGAGGCCACTCCTCCTGTGGCGGCTCCCAGGCGGTGATGGAGGGAAGTAGGAACGCTAGGGCCGGGCCGTTCCTGGGAGATGAGGAACTTCCGTGACAGCAGATTTGGGCTGGCGGACTCCCCTCCGGCTTTGCCAAGCCTCCCCTAGGCTGCGTGGCACCCAGCCTTTGCTTTTCTCTTCTTTTCTCAGGGTCTAACTTGCCTCGCGACCTGATGGCCCTCCCAGCCTTTGGTGGACCCTTGACTATTTTACCTTACAGAGGCATTTTCCCGGATAGAATCCTTGCTCATTTAAGCCAGTCTTGGCACTTGCTTGTCAGAGGACCCCGGACTAAACTAGCTCACACCAAACTGAGATTCAGGTGCTTCAAACTTCACCACTGCTGTCCCCTGGAGGCCAAGGCCGTTATTACCATTCCTATCGAATATGCCTGCTTCCTAGACATTCTCCAGTGCAGAGCCAGATGGACAAAGGTATTTGGCAAAGCTTAAATCACGTGCCTGCGTTTAGCTGTAAAGGAGGCTGGGAGATTAACTTCTGACTTCTTGCATGGGTAGGCAGGACTGATAATGTGGGAAATTCTATAAACATAGAAAGGCCTTTCAAAAGATGCCTCTTAATTCAAAAGATTTGTTAATTATACCAAATAGACACTTTGCCAACATATATATAATATATCCATTTAGCCTTAAGACTTAACATGATTCTAAATACTTTAGGTTATGCTTGCTATCCTCTCACTTTCTATTCTTTCTACCTCCAAACTAAATTAAGCATTATAACACAGTTCCAGGTCCTTGAACCTTCAATAATAAAATGATAAACTAGGCAATTTGGACCAAGACTCCTGCTGAGGGTAATCAGAAAAACTGGACAACACATGAAAAAGTATACTCATCAGCAAAAGAGGGCTAACAGTGTGGTGAAGAATTTCTGGAGTGGATGTAAACTCAGAAACTTGAGCCTAACGTTTAGGACAGCCTTGCCTTTCAGGGCAAAGGGAAGTGGGGAGAAAATCCTGAAAAATTAGAAAAATGAAGGCCAGTGCTCACTTTAGCACACAAACTAAAATTAGAATGATACAGAGAAGGTTAGCACGGCCCCTGTGCAAGGATGACACACAAATTTGTGAAGTGTTCCATATTTTTTACCTAAATGGGAAGGAAATCCAAA